CTGTGGGATACTCCTGCAGGCACTGCAACTATACTACTGAAGTTGCATCTGCCGGGTGGTGGTCACACGAGGCTCCGGAATGGAAGGTCGAAGGTTACATACTTGACAAAGTCACCAGGTCCTCACCGCTGTACACTGTTTACCATAGTTCATTAACTTTACATAATCTGGGTCATCCACATTACGTTTCCCTTAATACGACAAGGAGTCGCACTGGGACAGCCAGACTATCACCTGGATAATACTGAATATTCTTCCTTATATTGAAATATTCTCATGGTCATGGACTGAGCCACGGGGGCGTTGACCCCCGGAACACCCACCAGGTATATCATGGATTTTCTAACAGTTGCGCCTGATTCCTTCATTTATCTTTGTTCCACATCCATTATTGTGCATCAAACAAAATGGCTCAGATTTAACGACAAACAAGAAGCAACACAAGAATTTATTAAGAATGGGCAGGGGCTTAATTGCTTCTTTGCAGTTGGTATAAACAGGGCATCTGTAAGTTTAACATGCAATAACTCTATGTAGAAATTGAGACAGTAACTGTAGAAATTGAGACAGTAACTCTGTAGAAATTGAGACAGTAACTCTGTAGAAAATGAGACAGCAACTCTGTAGAAACTGAGACAGTAACTCTGTAGAAAATTGAGACAGTAACTCTTTAGAAATTGAGACACTGTATAGAAATTAAGATTCTAACTCTGTGGAAATTGAGACAGTTTTCTTAAACCAAAATACTGATGTATGCAGAAAAATGAAGGATAAGGACTGTTTCCCCTTTATGTTTCATTATTAGAATGTTTGGTGTTAACTGGTAATAAGCTTAAGAGATCATCAGGTCCCAAGCCAACACTAAACAATCAATCACCTGTAATCACTCCTGTCACCGGGACTTGTAAACACTTCACATTACTAGCTTTGTGAGGAAACACGAAACTATACTGAACGAAGCTTTTATGTGGGCAATGTTTCGCTCTTGATAGAACTTTGCCAGGTCTGCTTAGAAGGAAATGTTGCCGAACTGAAAAGTTTTATTGTGTGTACTTATGTCGCTGTTGGTAGATTTCTTTCTCCTTACACTCCCTCAGTTTACCAACCCTCTCTGTATTACTCTATTTATACACTTTCTCTTTCCTTCCCTCCCTCTCTCTCCTCACCCTTTTTCACCATCCCTTCCATCACCCTCCCTCTCTCTCTCTCTCTCTCTCTCTCCTCTCTCTCTCTCTCTCTCTCTCTCCTCTCTCTCTCTCTCTCTCTCTCTCTCTCTCTCTCTCTCTCTCTCTCTCTCTCTCTCCATCCCTCCCCTCCCCCTCTTACTCTCCCTCCTCCTCCCCTCTCATCACCCCCTCTCTCTCCATCCCATATCTCACCTCTTCTCTGGCAATTTTCGTCTGGTGCGCCTCTGGGAAATCACCCTAATAAATCCTTGTCATTGTATTACCTACAATTAGGGTTAATAACCCTGTTCGCCCTGATAAGTAACTTCATCAGCCTCCCTGTCAACATCGCCCTCCGAGTGACCTCTTAGCAGTGACCTCCCAACAATGACTTCTTCAGCAGTGACCTTTTTAGTAGTGGCTTAGTGACCCATCAGCAGTGTTGAAGAATTAGACACATGAGCAACATCTGGGTATCTTTATTTGTAGACGTTTCGCCATCCAGTGGCTTTATTAATACAAGGACATAATGTGAAGAAAGTAAAAGTATATAATTCTACTTTCTTCAAATTATGTATTGATAAAGCTACTGGAGGGCGAAACGTCTACAAATAAAGAACCCAGATGTGAACATGTGTCTGATACTTCATCTTGTTGGTATTGTGTACCATACATGTACAAACAGTCGTGATCTCTGACTTGTGATGTTATTGTTTACTTTCTCGTTTTCTTGTAAGACAATGTGTAGTTTTTCATGTTTAATTTTCTTAGACACATGCTGTCTGGATTCTAGTGACTCTTTGAGTTGTAATATATTTCTCTGCAATTGTGCAAAACTTGAGCAATATTCCCGTTATGTTTTCTAAATTCTGCATTGTATCCAAACCTACTTATTTCCACACTTGCTTCTCCCCCTCCCCCAACACTGCAATCATCATGCTGGTGACCCCTCTCTTTCCAGTTGCAATAATGCTAATGTCCTCTCGTGCATTGCATCATCCAAAGCATCATCCCTCTATCCCACTCCTCTTTGCCCCTTCCCCTCTCTCTTGTCCTTTATTCCTTTCCTCCCTCTCCTATACCATTTTCTCCCCTTCTTCCTTTCTCCCTACCAGCCTGAAATTCCATGATCCGGTAAACCACCCCCATTCCATCTTCAACAACCCCCTTCCATCGTTCATACTTTCCCCTAGCATCCGTTGCACATTCCGCTCGTTTCTTCTCTCCTCTTCCCCCTCTCTTCCTCTTTGCTCTTTCTTCTTCCTGTGTCTCCCCTCCTTCCTGCTTCGTTGACCCCCAGGCTGGGAGCTCACACTGTCTTTGTCTTCCTTCACCGCTTCACTAAACTTTGATAGAGTTGGTAAGAGTGAAACGGTATCTTGCGTATCTTGGCCCGGCGTCTCTCCCTTCTCTGTGTCCCATCTTTAGCAGCATCCCTTATCCTCTTCTTCTTTATGCCAATTCTCTCTGCCATTTTTACCACCACGCGTTTGTATATGTATATAAGCTGAAGAGGATCCCAGAAGGGGATCGAAATATACAGACCAATTAATCTTCAGAGGTTCTGTCTCCATGTGGATTGTTATTGAGTTTGTGCGTATATGTTTATATTATGGAAACCAGTAGACTGATCTTACAGAAACTCGCACAAATTCTTCTCCTGTGAGAGGACACACAGGTCACAACATTGTGTAAAAATGATATATGTTTTTATTCAGCTTTATATTTTGTATTTGCTGCAAGTTTTGCTGAAGAGAATTGTGATAAAATTTACATGGTGTAGGTTAGATGGGTTTGAAAAGTCTGTATATATATATATATATTTATATATTAGTATATTATATAAAATTTATATAATATTTATAATAAAATATTATATATATATATATATATTTTTAGTTAGCTTAATTTATAGTGGTCCAATAAAGTTAGAAATTTGATGGCAACGAAAGTCCACTAAAAACAACCGAATCTTCCTGTAAGACACACCGATGCTGAAAGTTTCAAGGCGATCAAAAGAAGCATTCTGCAGTTATCGAACATGGCTCAATAATTCCAAGTGTTAACTGTGTTAAGTAAATTGGCAAACTTGCGTCTACACAGCCCAAGATACACCGACGTTAAAAGTCTGAAGCCTATTACAGGACGTGTCCTCCAGTTATTGAAAGGAAATCAGTATCTAAATTTTCTTAATATAATTGGTGTTCGGTGTGAATACACTAATATACACAGCTCTCAGCATATACACACTGAAAAATAAACACCTCTCGGTGTATATACACAGAGGTACACACCTCTCGGTGTATATACACAAATATACACAACTCTCATCATATATATACACTAAAAAAATACACATCTCTCGGTGTATATACACAGAGATACACAACTCAGCATATATACTCTGACAAATACTCACCTCTCGGTGTATATACACAGATATTATACAACTTTCGTTTCTTTTTCGGGTTACCTTGCCTCGGTGAGAGACGACCTACGTGTTCAAAATAATAATAATAATAATAATAATAATAATAATAATAATTATTATTATTATTATTATTATTATTATTATTATTATTATTATTATTATTATTATTATAGTGCATGGTTAAGTTAACTGAAGTGAGGATGGCCTGGACCCACGGGTGTGCACACGCTGTGTGTCGGCGTGTATTTTTATTAGACCAGGGTAATTAGGGTCGCTTTAAACTGTTAATAGGGCTGTTGAATATATTGTTTATTATCGCAGTTAATTGACTTTGGAGGTTAGGTAAGACTTGTCAGGAAACAGGACAAGTGTTTCCTGACGCTGGTCTTAGTCATATGATGACACACAGTTGGAGCTTTTGGTCATCTGACCGAGGCCTTCCGCTGGCTTAACCCTCTGACCGAGGCCTTCCGCTGGCTTAACCCTCTGACCGAGGCCTTCCGCTGGCTTAACCCTCCACCCCTTTAAAAATTAAGGTTTTAATTGACTTTGGAATACTTATAAAAAGAAACGGGATTAAATAGGTAATGGTAATAACTAGTTCAACAGAACTACTTACACTGGCGATCGAGAAGACTATAAACTGACAGAAAATTAAATGCGGAGTGAGGGGGAACGGAATGAGGGGGAAACGGAATGAGGAGGAAACGGCAGTTGAGAGAATAAGGAGTGAGGGGAAACGGAAGTGAAGGGGGAATCAGGATAGTAGGAGAAACACGGAGGAGGGAAACGGACGTGAGAGGGAAACGAGAAGTGAATGCGGAGTGAGGGGGAACGGAATGAGGGGGAAACGGAATGAGGAGGAAACGGAGTGAGGGAGAAACGGAGTGAGGGGGAAACGGAGTGAGGGGGAAACGGAGTGAGGGGGAAGCGGAGTGAGGGGGAAACGGAGATTACCGTCAAAAGACCTATGGCCAACCGCCTTTAATTTGAGGTACATAATTATAATGATTTTAGGTGGAGTGTAGGGAGAGGAGAGTGTTTCTTTGGTAAAAATAAGGAATAGTTAAGTGTCATAGTATATTGAAACAGTACTAAGTGGGGGAAGAACAGCGAAGTACAGTGAATAGCCTAATGTAAGTCAGTATAGACCTCAACCTCACCCACCCCCCTGATATAAGGTAAATTAGTGAGTTGGATAGAGTGAATCCAGTGTTTCGTGCCAAGGTTACTTCCAGTTTTTAGTCATATTAAATCAGCCTAATTGCTTAGGAGTACAGAAGTTTACAGAAGAAAAAAGTTTTGAAGGTAGCAGTTGGTGTACTCCGCGGACCCGGGTGTGTACCGGGTACCTCGGGGTTGTACCGGTGATCCTCGGTTTTTGTACCGGGTACCTCGGGTGTACCGGGTACCTCGGGGTGTACCGGGTACCTCGGGGTGTACCGGGTACCTCGGGGTGTACCGGGTACCTCGGGGTGTACCGGGTACCTCGGGGTGTACGAACAGATGTTACGATGTTAAGAGTCCGTCTGTGCTGCCAGACGTCCCACGAGAGTCAAGATAAGTTTGAATTATGAGAAAACTTTAGCATTATTAGTAGTTAAATAGCAGTAGTTAAATGTTAGGTAATATAATATAGATCACTGGGAGGGCAGCGAGGTTGTCAGTTGTCCATACTTCGCCACAGCACTGCACATATCAGTGCAAACCATACCACGGCTGGGGTTTGAACCCGCGGTTAGAGAGTCTCAGTGCTACAGCTGGGGGTGTTGCTGGGTCTGGTGTTGTTTCTGAAGACAGTGTTGGTACAGTTCTAGAAACAACTTGTTGCAGTGCTGGTTCGGGTACAATTGCTGAAGATGGTGCTGGTGCAGGCGTAAAAGATGCATCTAAATTTATAACTGGAAAATCCTGGAGGGACTGCTCCCAAATCTGCTCAGAGAAATCACTCGAAAGCAAAACGCTCGGCAGAAGATGCAATATACCCCGAATTATGCACAGAGATGGCATGAGTGCAAGGAGAGGCAACGCTTAAGGGGATTAACGATAGACCTCAAGTAGTCTTCAAAAGGGAGTTGAATAGGTTCTTAAAGTCATTTTCTGACCAACCAGACTATGGTTCGTTCGTTGATCAGGCCCTGATACACCGGGAGGCCCGGTCATGGACGTGGCCACGGGGACGTTGAATCTTGGAACACAAATAAGGAGCAATACACAAATGGTCCGCAAGTAGGAGACTGAGGCTTATGACGACGTTTCGGTCCGACTTGTGACCATTAACTAGTCACATAGTTAGCGGTCCAAGTCGGACCGAAACGTCAAAAGTTTCAGTCTCTTGCGTGCGGGTTATTTGTATACCTTCCAGGTAGATTCCAGGTAAACTCGATTCGCCATTCGTTAATTACGAGACAGGCCCTCTTGTTTTCCTGGATGAAGTGAGATGTATGAATGCTTAATTAAACACGAATCACAGGGAAGCCCCGACAACACTGGCGGGGGAAGATGCTGTGGAAAGGAAGACATGTCCACGTAAGACGTTATTAGAGTTTACAATGCAGGTCAAGACTGAGAAGTGACGAGGTCAAGACGAAGGGGTGACAGGGAGAGTATCAAGGCAGGTCAAGACTGAGAAGTGACGAGGTCAAGACGAAGGGGTGACAGGGAGAGTATCAAGGCAGGTCAAGACTGAGAAGTGACGAGGTCAAGACGCAGGTGACAGGGCAAAAGTGTCAGGGAGGGTCATGGCTGAGATGATGAAGGCTGAATGTTGCAGTGTATGTGTATGTGAAGAACTGATAGAGAGAGTGAGTGAGTGAGAGGGAGAAAGAGAGAGAGAGAGAGAGAGAGAGTGAGAGAGAGAGAGAGAGAGAGAGAGTAGAGAGCGATGAAAGAGTTGGGAACAAGGACACGAGGAATATCCTGACTTACAGGTAGCAGCACTCTTGCGGGCGTCCAAGACTCGGGTCATCAGTGAACCTCGCCGTTATTGTCTTTCTAGCTCAAAGTCTCGCCAGTGACAAAAAAGTCTAAGAGTAATGGAAATGCGATGTAGCGTCATTATTCATGAAAGGCCTTCAGTTTAAAAAAAAAAATAACGAGCTGATGACTGACTTGAATTAAGGGCGAGTTTTGTTATGGATAAATAAAAAAAACATATTTACCAAAAATGTTGAGAGATGATGATGATTGTCGGTGGTGACGTGACGAGACACACACAGGTGGATATCACAGCCAGCTACCAGAGACGCGACACAACAGCTTCCCCTCAAAATGTAACCTTAAACGACCCTCCGAATGACAACATCAATAGAGTTTCGTTTCCACCCAACAAAAAACGCTTTTTTTTTTTTTTGGAGTCTCAACCAAAGCGAGTCTGATTGATTAAATTCCTGGCGAACAAGCATTCCAGCCGATCAGCTTACCGCTTTGTTTAGGCCAAAAATTATTCGTTACAAAATTCCCCCTCAGAGCTATTGATTGCTGACGGACAGTGGCGTGTCCTGTGCGAAAGAGGAAGGTTCCATAGTTACCCTAGAGAGTGTGTGGGAGAGGTACTTAGGATACTCTCAGTGCAACAACAACACAGGACCAGAGGACTAGAGTGGAATACACTTTATCTTTTAGAACAATAGTAGAATCAACTTTATTGTTGAGAAGCACCAGGCAGAATTGAAATATTCTTGAGTGCATTTATAGGAAACGCTTGCTGTGTTCGTATGTACATGTGCAAGGGAAAACGAATATCTGATTTATAATTGATTTTGCCTTGATAAAAGGCTTACATTGCTGAAGTACACAGGGAATTTCAGTAAAGAATTAAAGGAAAGGAAAATAGAAAGTTGGTATTGTCACATACACGTTTGGTTTCTCACTAAACAGATCTTTGGTATTAGATAAGGAGTAACCTTAGGCTAAATGTTATTATCTATGTACACAGGAGACAGAGCTAAGACGTACCACTCAGAAGTGTTTGAGATTATCTAACAATTCTTGTTTCTTCTCTATCGTACAAGGTTCTTCTCTCGTCTTCTCTTCACTTTCATTTTCACCTTACTTGGCTTTCTTTTCTGACAGAGAAGTTTGTATTTAATACTTATCTTCCACCAGTAATAGCACATTTACTCTGTTTATGTGTGTGTTGAAATATGAATGTCCTGAGGATCTTGTTAACTTAGTCGGGGGAAAAATCACATCTTAATTTTTTTAGCTATACATGTGTTCTAGACATTCTTGTAGTGGCCAGAGTGTGAGTGTATGTCACAACACTGTTAAGTCTGTCAGGGTCTTACATAATGAACAATCACATGACATTCACTGACCAACTAGCACGTGTATCAATACTTGTCTTGAAGTATCACAAAAATGCACACCCCTTATTACTGTGAACATTATTTTCTTATCAACTGTGGGCACCCATTTTATTTCTGATGGCTATTTCAGGAGCTCCATACAGGGCTGTATCTTGTCCAAGTCACGAGTGGCACTTTGTATTCAGTTTTTTCCCACTGAGAATAAACACAGACAGTGTATCATGTCCTCTACTCACAGACACAGTATTAAACTTACCTAAGATGAAGCACAATGAATACAAACGGAATCTGGTGCTGAGTTAGACTGAAATGATCAGTTACTGAGAACATACAAAGGTGATCCTTTCCACGAATTTGAAAGGGGCTTAATGTGGAGACTGAGGGAGGGAGCAGGGTTGAGGAAGACGAAGTACGTTATACAAAAACGAGCGAAGAGACGAGGTACGAAGAGGTTAGCTGTGATAAAAGGGGGAGAGGGACAGAGCGGGTAGGTAAAAAAAAAGTTCAGAGGTAAGGACAAAAATGATAGAGGAAAGGTTGTGGGGTTGCAGCAAGGAGGTGTGTGGTGGGGAAGCTGTACAGTACACAAGCAGGCAGCTATCACCATCAGAACAACCTACATATTTTTCAAATTATCGCTACTGCCTGCCGAATGTCCGCCAAACGGTCGGAGTTGACTCATACACACGCACATACACACGTCCTGCTACGCAAATGCACATGTCAACAAAGAAGTATAATTACGAATATCCACAAATGATTATGTTGTGACAGGCACACACACACACACAGGGTCTCCCGTGCCTCTCAGGAAGCTTCGCCACAGCAATTATCTAAAAAAGAGATACTCTCTTTCTCTTAAGAATAAGCTCGTGACGAAATCTCACTTTCTTCGGTAGCTTAATGTAGCGATTTTAAACGCACTAAAAGTTACTGAAGTATGCAACACTTAGAGTAGCTCTTGGCTTAGTTTGTGACTCTGTACAGAGGGAAGGGGGCCTCACATACACAAGGATAACCAGTATGTTGTATGGTTAGTATTCCGGAGGTCTGCCCAAGGAGACATAGCAGAGGGGGCCATGTATGGTGATCTGTGTAGTCTTACATAGGCTACGATATCCTGACGCTGAAGGTGATATCGACACTACTGGTCCAGTGAGACTGCCATGTTGCTCCTCCTGAAGAGTGTCATCTCACTGGGAGGTATCAAACAGCTTCTTTCTGGGAGACCACAATGAGGGCTCGTTGCTGGGAAATCCCGTGGAGAGCTTCTCGCTTGGCGTTGACACTGAGCTTCGTGTTGGAAGACCGCAGTCTGGGCTTCTGTATGGGAGACCTCAAAAGCTGTGTTTCCTCTTTCGAGACCTCGGGTGCTGTGATCTTGCTGCTAGGAGACCATCTGGTCCTGAGAGACCCTTTGGTCCCTCCCTCACACCACAGAGGCGACAATTGCTTATCTGAGAGCGTTGAGAACACACAGCAGGAGCCCAACAGTCAGGCTCAAAGGACTGGAGGTGCTAGTGGTACCCCGGCTCCCTGCAAGAGAAGAAAAACAGATCAATGTTACCATGTTGCCTCATGGGTGTGAAGAGATGAGCCTTGCAGGAGGCTATGTTGCAAATGCCTTAGCAACATAACACATGAGAGAGGAAACATCTGCGGTCAACGACGGTGTTAATAAGGGCGTCCCGTGTGTCTTAGGGATGTTGCAATACATATGACACTCTGCCTACAAGACTGACGTTCAGATGAGAGTAAGTAGAAAGTATTTAAGTAGCGTGTATGTATATGTATAATTTGTGTGTAAGAGTTTTAGGTAGCAGCAATGTCAGTATTTAAAACACTCTAGAATATATATGAAATGTAACGAGTCAGAGAAAACTGTAAAAGTCGGTATTAAGGAAGTAATCTTTCTCCATCTTAGTCTGTAATATTGTAATAATAATAATAATAATAATAATAATAATAATAATAATAATAATAATAATAATAATAATAATAATAGTAATAACAAATTATTATTATTGCAATTATTGCTACAAATACATTTTCGAACACGCACACACAAACACACACACACACACACACACACACACACACACACACCACACACACACACACACACACACACACACACACACACACACACACACACAGCATTTCGCCATCTTAACAAGGGATCGTTCAGGACCCTGTACACCGTGTACGTTAGGCCCATATTGGAGTATGCGGCACCAGTTTGGAACCCACACCTAGCCAAGCACATAAAGAAACTAGAAAAAGTGCAAATGTTTGCAACAAGACTAGTCCCAGAGCTAAGGCGTATGTCCTACGAGGAGAGGTTAAGGGAAGTCGACCTGACGACACTGGAGGACAGGAGAGATAGGGGCACATGATAACGACATATAAAATACTGAGAGGAATTGACAAGGTGGACTGAGACAGAATGTTCCAGAGATGGGACACAGCAACAAGGAGACACAGTGGAAGTTGAAGACTCAGATGAATCACAGGGATGTTAGGAAGTATTTGTTCAGT